CCGCTTTGTTAGCAAGAGGATTAGGAAAGCAGAAAAAGTCTTATGACTCTATACTGTGGTCCGTCTCTTCTATAATCATCAAGCCCAATGATTATTAACAAATCTCTCCCTTCATTCTAATACGTGTTTCATAGCTTGTTGCTCAGGAACCAGACACTGAATTGAAATCATGTCCTTCGTTCACTAATGCCCCCAAAGGTTGCAGTGCTGGCAGAAGGAATATGAACAATTAGCAAGATGAGGAGTTTGGGTTCTATCTCTGAGAGGGAGAAGTACTGACACCCCAGATGATTTCTTTTACTGCATTCATGCGATCACAAATGCCTAGTGAATGCTGGTTTCACACTGAGGCTGCCGGCATAATGCATCAGGCATGAAATGCACGAACATTTCTTTAGAGCTGCTTAGCTGAAGTTTATCATGATCATTCAGCCATTGCCTAGCAACTTGGGAAGGCTATCAAAGAGCTCTTTGTCCTTGGTCCTGGCAAAAACAGTCCCTCACAGATCACCTTATCAGCGTTAGAACGTTTATCAGGAAAAAAATGCTTCCATTGAACCAGAGATTTCTGCAAATTTAAAAATCCCCCTTTCCCGTTTTGTCCCCTCTTCCAAATACCTTAGGGAATTGCTTCATGAAGTAATTCCTATTAGAGCCTTTATCTGTTCTTTAGTAAACCTTCCAAAAGAATTTCTTCAAGATGCCTCCATAATTCTTCTGCTTTCTAATCTGGACTAACATTAAAAAACACAGACCACAGACCTGAGCTCATGAAGGTCTTCTCCAAAATCAGCAAGGCAGACACTTCCACCCCCTCAGATGGGAAAGGTCATCATTTTAGGCACACAGAATAGAAATACGCTGGGTTTCTTGGTTTGCCTATGCTTCTTATCACTTCTTTCGGGAAAGAGAGAATTATATGGTTGCTCCATCCACTTGGAAAATGGTTCTGAATATCATGGTGGAAAGAGGGACTCTGCTTATTGATGCATTCAACAAATCTTTAACACCATCTTTAATAACATCTTTAACACTGTAGGGAGCAAAATCCCCATCTCACTTTCAGGGAGCTGCCAGAATTCATTCATTGCCCTGTGTGGAATATGGGGTGGGGGGCAGATACAGATATTTCATCCCCATTTTCTCTTATGTTTCTCTGGAATTTATCCTCCCTGGATTCCAACTGCCAATGACTGAGTTTAAGACCTTGTCATGTATATCTTTTTTTCTTTTTTTAACCTGTGTGACCTACAACAGCCACCTGACACAGGCCTTCTCTCTTCCAGGCTCATCCTCCTCATACTGTCTTCTGCCCTCCTGCCAACCACAAATTTAATTATGTGCTTCTCCTACTTAATTGTCTATTTCGTCCCTGTCACCCCCAAGGGGGAAGCTCACACTCCACAGCATGGCGTTCTTGGCTTTCTCTGCATGCCGCGAACTGGCTTCCCAGAGACCTTCCCATTCTTTCCAACCCCAGTGTTGGCTGTCCTCAACTTTGGGTACTTCCTTGGACTTTCAGGTCTTGTACACACCATTCTATTAGCTTGGAACCCTTGTCCACCTTCACAAGCTATTTCCTTTTCTGAAGCTATTTCCTTTTCTGACTGTGATCCCCAGACAGTGTTAACGGTGCTTATTCTGGGGCCGTTATCATTCTACAGCTGGAGGTCTTTCTTAGAGAACCTATTACCAGTAAGCCAATAGCTTACTGGACCCTTTGAATGTTGATTAAGTTGAATTCTTTTTTCTGTCTTTGATTAAAAAAGGAAACAAAAAAATGTCTTGTAGAATGCCAGCCAAGTTTGCAAAGACTGAGGTGAAATCGATGGAAATAATTTAGGATTAACACACACACTAAAAAAAGATGGTTAATGCAAACTTAGAATTCCCTATCCTGAAAAAAAATTTACTGCAGGAATACCTTAATACAGAAGTCACATCAGTAGCCATATACCTAGTATAACCTAGAGAAGAACTTACCCAGTTACCTCCTCTGTGAGCCTCACTGCTTGATAGATATTTCACAATTAGAGATTTATTTCTTAGGCTCCTTACATGTATATTCTCTTAAAATATAAGTATTCTCTGGAGAAGGTAACAATTCAACAATAATCAATTTATCTTTTCTTGACTATAAGATGAAGGGAAAGATAACAGGAGGGCACAGAGCTCTGAAGAGGATGAGTAACAAAGGGAGGAAATGGGACAGCAAGAGGAAAAAATGCAGCTTCAAATATACAAAGTCTATAAATAGATTAAGCATTAATATCTGAAAAATGATGATTTATTTTTACCAATGGTAGAGAAAAAGAAAAGGGATTGATTTTTTTTTAAAGATTTTATTTATTTATTTGACAGATAGAGATCACAAGTAGGCAGAGAGGCAGGCAGAGAGAGAGAGAGGAGGAAGCAGGCTCCCTGCTGAGCAGAGAGCCTGACATGGGGCTCGATCCCAGGACCCTGGGATCATGACCCAAGCCGAAGGCAGAGGCTTTAACCCACTTAGCCACCTAGGCACCCCAAGGGATTGATTTTTTAGGGTAAGTTGGTAATAGAATTATTATAATTTACTTTTTAAGGAAAGACTTATTTGCAATCCTGAAATAAAGATTTTTAAAAAGTAAGCTAGGTTCTGTTGAAATATGCTTATACATTCGGAGACAGAAGATTTGACAGATGATCTCTAGAATTCCCTGTGATTCTCTGGAAATGAAATCATGGGTAAATCATGTGAAACAAGCGTATCATTGTAATGGATCTCTTTGCTATATCGTGGGCCCTGTTGCTCTATGAAAATTACCTCGATAAAGTTGATTATGACAGATGGTTATGTTATCCAGCTGGACAAACCTATTAGGGAAGACAAGTCAGATATGAAATAAAGGATCACTTTATTCACATTTGCCAATCTGCCCTGGAGTCATTTTCTCTTAACATGCTCTGATTGAGAATGTGCTAAGTCATATACGAATTATGATAATCTAGAATGTAAAAAAGTGGCAGATAATTTTGACCTAAAGTGTGCGCCATTCCAGCTTCACTGCATTTATTGGATATGAAGGAGAGATTTGGCAAGAAGCTGATGAACCAAATCACCATGAATGGCTAAATCCCCCCCTTCCTCAAGCTCCCACCCCACAAAAATGTGCCAAAAATGAGGACTCATTTTCAGGATGATTTTCAGATTAACTCAGCTTCCGCATCTCAAAAATCCTAACTGGGACTTGCATGAGTGGCTCCAAACCCAAACGGTCACCGTTGTTTGAGTATCTGTGAAGTGGGTGTCCCCATCCTGGCTGCTATTAAATAGGAGTTCTGGATTATGGTCAGATCTCAGGACCTGAATTTGAACAGACTGAAGCCTGTAACAGGTTACCCTTGTTGATACGTCCTTCAGACTCACAAAACAAAATTTAGGTTTGCAGCCTCCTTTTGAAGTGGTTTATTCCTCAGTAGGTTTGATGCTTTGCCTCGTCAGCCAAAACACCAGATACAACCCTATAGCTGGTGAATCACATTTGGTGAGCAGAGCATTTGCATGTCATTCCACCTTAGCTTTTCAAAAGAGGTTTTTAGGGAAATAAAAAAAGATCACATGTTCGTGAACTCAAGGGAAAAAAATCACAATGGGCCCAAATTCTGTATTTTATTCTATAGGGAACCCCGAAACCCTGGTCAGCTTATAACAGGTCTGATCTCCTTTAGCCCGCAGTGCAAGCTCAAATAATCATCTATTGTTGGGTCAAGCTACACACAATGAGGTCTGTATTCTTTCATGACTACTTAGCAGCCTTTACTAAGGGGGAGACTTTTGGAAGGAGAGAAACGGGAACCAAAGCGGAGTTATGGCTCGGCAGAAATGACTGTGTACCAATTAGCCATGTTCACATTGTGGTTTGGGGCTGCACCTGTTTTAAGGTTTGGGCCACAGAAGCAAAAACTGTAATACAAAACATGCCTTTCTCAGCTTCCTTGGTGCTGGGTATTAACAGTGTTCTGGAGTCCCTGAGTGTGTACGTGCTTGTTTTTCCTGTGTGTTCCCTTGGTCTCAAGCCAGCCGTCGCTGGTTCACTACTAATTATAACTCATTGCTTCTCAATGCAGAGAACATGTCTTTGAATTGCGGAGAATTCTGACTTACAAGAAAGAGGTGCCTGTTGTATTTCAAAGACAAACATACCAAAGAGACTTCTATTTACCTCAAAAAAAAAAAAAACTGGTTTTATTTTTATTTTGGGGACTTTGGTACCCACCCCTTTTGTTTTTTCTTTAGGCATTTGTTCATTCATGAGCAGCTCTAGAGTTTCTGTTCCCAGGGTGAGAGTTAAAAACCTACATATAGTATCCTAATAACCAATAACTTAGACAACAGCTATAAATAGCATCAGTTGTGATATTCTGCCTTTACCTGCCTGGTGTAAGGTTAAATTTTTAAAGAGGAATTTAGTGGCACAGATGAGCGTATCTTTCCATCCTGTACAATGTATCATCAAAATGTTTTAAGATTGTGTCTGCTCCAGGGGGAAGGTTCTCTTAATGTAAAACAATTTAACTACTGTTTTACTTCTCTTTCTCTTTTTACGCTTTGTTCATTTCTCTGTAAAGATGAGGAATGAGGCGGGGGATGAAGTTTTCAATGATAAAATATTTTTGATAAATTTTGCTTTTAATAGAACTCTTGGGCTTCCCATTTGTTCCCTCCTCCTTAAAGAGGAAAACCAGTATAACAAAGGTGTTTTATTCCTGCTCTTTTATGACTCCATAGAAAATCATCCTGGGATTATTTTAATGTTATGGTGACACAATGAATGATTACGCAATATGATGATATACTGATGTAGGTAAGTGATTTTTAAACCCTACGCCATGCCTGCTTATGGTTGCCTGGATCACTAAGCTTGGGGACCATGACCATGCTCCTTGTCCTGGACTTTGCATCCCCGAGGCACCTGTCCACCCTGCCTCTCACTCAGCCTCGCTCGTGTGTGTTGTTTCAGGTGTCCACTGTGACAGCGTGTGTGCTGAGGGGCGCTGGGGCCCCAACTGCTCTCTGCCTTGCTACTGTAAAAATGGGGCTTCGTGCTCCCCAGACGACGGCATCTGTGAGTGTGCGCCGGGGTTCCGAGGCACCACTTGTCAGAGAAGTAAGTGTCTCATGAGGGGCAATGTCTGCCTTCCCTTCTTAGTCCCCAGGAGTTGCGGCTCCTGTCCTACCTCTCAGCGCATGGTGCCATTCTGTTTCAGTCGAGGGGAGGGAGAGGAGAGATACTAGGTCTCCCTGTTTCTCAAAGGGCTGGCCTTGATAGCACTCCCCAAGAGCTTTATTTGTTCCAGCCTTCAGGATGAGCCTAACAGATGGGGCTAGAGCCATTCCTTCTCAGTAACGATTTCAATGCCTCATTGGCATTATCATTGGGATACGTCTCTCGATCCTGCCTTAAATCTTACAAATGGTGTTCCAGAAATCCATTGACCTGTAAATATTTGATTCAGCAATTTTGGCATTGGCCTTACCTCAATTACCAGAAGTCAACATCAGCCAAACCTAGCGGCAAATCATACATCGTGCTATTAGACTTACAGCCAGTGCTCTGGGGAAAATAGCACTGCGGAGTTAAAAATGGGGCTGTTGACATAGGTCAATAGGACTTGAAGTTAGGAAGGATTTTACTAAATTTTTTAGTAAATGTAATCAAGAAAAGCGTATATGACTTTAAGATACCTTATTCTACTTTTTAAATGACTTTTTTTTTCCTTCGCTCTTCGCATTCATCCTGTATTTTTTTTTTTAAGATTTTATTTATTTATTTGGCAGACAGAGATCACAAGTAGGCAGAGAGGCAGGCAGAGAGAGGAGGAAGCAGGCTCCCTGCAGAGCAGAGAGCCCGATGCGGGGCTCGATCCCAGGACCCTGGGATCATGACCTGAGCCGAAGGCAGAGGCTTTAACCCACTGAGCCACCCAGGCGCCCCGTCATCCTGTATTTAAATTCAAGGAATATCTTGAGAAGGACTTAGTTATGTAGCATTTTTTTGCTTGCTCCCTTTTCAATCACCATCATTTACCTGGATCACGTTGAGGAGGAACAATCCTTTCAACGCAGACTGGAGGGATGCCTGGGTGGCTCAGTGGGTTAAAGCCTCTGCCTTCAGGTTGGGTCATGATCCCAGAGTCCTGGGATTGAGCCCCGCATCAGGCTCTCTGCTCAGCGGGGACCCTGCTTCCCTCTCTCTCTCTGCCTGCCTCTCTGCCTACTTGTGATCTCTTTCTGTCAAATAAATAAAATCTTTAAAATAGATAGATAGATAGATAAATAAATGCAGACCGGAGATCTATTTATTGCCAGTAATTACTCTTAAAGAATAAAGGATTGACACATGGCTTGAGAGTATTTTGGGGGTATTTTAGAATTGAGTTTCCTTTCATTTGTTTCTTCAACAAAAATTCTTCAAGCCTCCATTCTGTGTCATGCCTCAAGTTAAGTAGGACCATAAATGAGAAAATTGAGAGGACGGAGACATTTGCCTGCCCTCAAGCAATCCAGTCTAGCAGTTTCTTTTCATTATTAAATAAAACCCTTCTTCCTTCCAAGGTGGTGATTTTATACTTGGAAAATTCTCAATATTGTTTAAAAAAAATTTTTTTTTACCCCTAACTGGAACTGGAGGCTGATGTGGAATTTGAGACACACATCCCAGGAATGATAACTGTTGATTTCTGATCTATTTTCAGTCTGTTCCCCTGGTTTCTATGGGCATCGCTGCAGCCAAACATGCCCACAGTGTGTGCACAGCAGTGGGCCATGCCACCACATCACGGGCCTCTGTGACTGCCTGCCTGGCTTCACAGGTGCCCTCTGCAATGAAGGTAAGGTGTGCAAGTGTTTCGGAGAGGCGTGCAGTGGTGGGCCAACCACATACAGTCTGCCCTTGGGGGAGCCCGAGGACATGTTTTCTGCTCTCAGCTCCCCATCCCTTCTGGTGCGCTGTGTCTGTAACTTCTGCAGATATGACTAGGAACTTCTGAAAAGCTGGCTTCCTGCTTCGGCAGAATCTCTTTATTCTCTGAGCTGTGCTACTCTTTGGTATTAACTGGAAACAGCCTCCTGTGAAAAATCCACAGAGGGAAGAAGGGTTTTGGCTCCCTGAGTGTGCAGCCATGAAGTCAGATTTCTAGAAATGTGATGATGTCTCCTGGTTTGGGATGCCTTCCTAAGAATCTTTGGCTTCATGTATCTGCTTAAAATGAGCCCATTCAAGATGAGGGATGCTGTTGAATGGAGGCAGGCAGGAAATGGGAAGCTGGGTGGATGACCTTCAAAGTCGTTTCCTGCCCCAAGACTGGAGTTCCATGAGCTGAGATGTAATTGTGCATTACTGACCCTGTAACTTATTCACAGTGTGTCCCAGTGGCAGATTTGGGAAAAACTGTGCTGGAGTTTGTACCTGTACCAACAACGGAACCTGTAACCCCATTGACCGATCTTGTCAGTGTTACCCAGGTTGGATTGGCAGTGACTGCTCTCAACGTGAGTCTTGTTCGAGAACAACCATGTGTATCTGTTTGTTTCCACATTCCTTAGGATGGAAGTATGAGGGTTTCTATAATCAGGAAATAATATATGAATAATTATAATATACCTTATTTTAATTTTAAGTGGATTTATTCCCCATTAAGAGCTCTATGCAATGTTAAATCCAAATGATGTCTTAGAAAGAATCTAAATAGGTAACATTTTGCTTATTCACTTTTCAGTGCTTCTTTGTCTATGAAATGAGGGTATTGTACTCAGAAAGTTCATTCTCAGTTTTGTATCAGGCCTCAAGTTCCAGCTATTTATTTTTCCTTGTTCTTGGGCAAAAATGATGCACATAATCATGGGAGTTTTTTTCTATTTTGTAAAATTACTTCAGACATATTATTTTTATTGGGCCATATTCCCTACTGGATAACCAAATATAAATTCTAGATGGTCCTCCTTTTTTTCCCCTCCAGTTTTATTGAGAAGTAATTGACATACATCACTGAATAAGCTTAAGGCATACAACTTGATGGTTTGATGTGTCTGTATCATGAATGATCACCACAGTGGCCTCAGCTAACATCCATTGTCTCATGTAGATCCAATGGAGGGCCTCATTTTTTTTTTAAGATTTTTATTTATTTATGTGACAGAGAGACAGAGATCACAAATAGGCAGAGAGGCAGGCAGAAAGTGGGGAGGGGAAGCAGGCTCCCTGCTGAGCAGAGAGCCTGTCGCGGGGCTCAATCCCAGGACCCTGGGATCATGACCTGAGCCGAAGGCAGAAGCTTTAACTCACTGAGCCACCCAGGCACCCCATAATGGTGGTCCTCATTTTAAGCAGTTATTTTCTTGAAGCATTAGTATAAACAAAAATGGGTTTTGTGGGCTTTGTTTTTGGTAAGTCAAATCATTTTACCCCATAATGTTATACAATTTCATAGACACTTTATCTGAAGTTCTTACTGCTCTTCATTGGTCGGTGACCCCCAATGATTCTGTTTTATTATTTCTGCATCATCCAGTTAAGAGTTTTTATGAATAAACCGATGCTTACATATAATTGAAACCTTAAACTATACAGTTTAAAAACAAATCTCTCACTAGAGTGAGTAGAGGGGTAAGTTCATGACTTATGTGACACTGGGTCCCTTAGTTTCTCTCAAGTCCCATCATTACCCTATCTGACCTATGCTTAAATGTCCTCTCCTCAGAGAAGCCTTCCCTGAAGGAGTAGCTCTGGTCATTCTTCCCTCGTTACCCTATTTTATTTTTTTTCTCATAGAACTTGTTGCCACTGTTTTCTCTGTTGACTGGCTGGCTGGTTGGTTGGTTGGTTGGTTCATTGGCCTGCCTGCCTCCCCTACTAAAACATAAGGTTTCAGACGGTGGTCTGGGCCTTGTCTTGTCCTCTGCTATCTCTTCTGTGTCTAAAACAGTGCTGGGTGCATAAGAGCCCAATATGCATTTATTTGTTAAGGAATTAAATCTGTGCTCTCAAGATGATTGTTGCTCTGCCCACCTTACTGTGTGGTCAGCCCATGAATACAGTGTCCGTTGTGATGGTTGCTGTTGCGGTCAGCCTTGCCCTCTGGGCATCAGGCAGATCTGGGGCACCATGCTTGCTGAGTCCTGACGCACACTGCTAACATCTCGCACACTAGGGGATGGGGTGGGAGGACGGCGCTCTTTCTGCCGGGCGCTGACCCCCAGGCTCTAACGGAACTCTCCCTGTGTGCTGTGGTTTCAGCTTGTCCACCTGCACACTGGGGCCCAAACTGCATCCACACGTGCAACTGCCACAACGGGGCCTTCTGCAGCGCCTATGACGGCGAATGTAAATGCACGCCTGGCTGGACAGGTCTCTACTGCACCCAGAGTAAGCAACCGGCCTTCCGAGGCTCGGGGGTGGGGGGAGCCATGCCCAAGGAGGATGCCGGCTCACCCGCCGCACACCTGAGCTGAGCTCAGCTGGGACTCCTGGAGTTGGAGGGTCTTGCCCTGATGACTGCTAGACGTTTAAATGTTTCTGTGTGGGGAAAAAAAAAAGAAAGAAAGAAAAAAAATGTTTCTGTGTGTTTAGACGCTGTCAAGGTCCAGGTTTTCTGTCTGCATGTTGTGTCAGGATGGAGCATTGCTGGATGTGGTGGTGTGCGGCTCCTTTCCCAACTCTCCTTCAACCAGACCCTGTTTATAGGCACCCAGCTCCCTATCATTTGTACATACATGTTCATGTCTGTACGTATACATGTATATGTGTATACACATACATCTACTGTTTTTACCATGTGATCCTTTATTTATTTATTTATTTATTTATTTGACAGAGAGAGACACAGCGAGAGAGGGAACACAAGCAGGGGAAGTGGGAAAGGGAGAAGCAGGCTCCTCGCTGAGCAGGGAGCCAGATGCAGGGCTTGATCCCAGGACCCTGGGATCATGACCTGAGCTGAAGGCAGAGGCTTTAACCCACTGAGCCACCCAGGTGCTCAGCATGTGATTCCTTTTATATGAAGATCAAAAACAAATCAATCTGTCAATTGATTGGGAAGGTGCATGGAGAGTGATGAAAATGTTCTATATAATTCTTCACATTGGGGTAGTGGTTCCATGAATGTATACCCTGTCATTTATTCCAACAGCACAAAGGTTAGGATAAGTGACAGTGACCAGAAGGCAGTGAAGATGACAAGCCTCCCTCCCTAACATAACGCATGTTCTCGGAGAAGGTTGCCTTAAGTGAGTTTCGGAATCACCAGGGGGCTTAATACACGCAGGCGGCTGGCCCCGCTCCCAGAGTGCCTGAGTCACCGGGGCTGGGGTGGAACCTGAGAATTCACATTTCTGACAACTTTCCACACGGTGCTGCCAGGCTGCTCTAAGAGCCACTAGTTCTTTTTTCCATTTTATATCCCATAGTGTCCTAATTGTTTCTTCTTGTATGAGGTTTTTGCCCTCCTAGCCTGGACTGTGCAAAGTACTCCACAGCTCAGCACTGTCAGGGGAAAAAAGACTCTTCTCTGCCCTCTTGCCTTCAAATGAATGAAGGAAACAAGACAGGAAAGCACAAATTATGGTTACTATTAATAAAAATGTATAGTTTATTCTTTTAAAACATTTTTAATCATAAAAGAATTTTAAGTCACAGAAATGAGCTGAGAAGGAAAGATGGGTCAGAAATTAGGCATTTCTTGTTGAATACTAATTAGGGGATATAATTAGTGAAGAGGCCGAAAAAGTGTTTTGGAATTTTATGGGAGGCGGTGTAGACCTTGAGCCATGATTCGAAAGGAAGAGCTGGCAAAGAGAGGCTTGTCTTGAGCACAGTCTGCCAAGATTGTATGCAGAAAGGGTTTCAAGCTTGTTAGGGAAAAGTGCTTATAAGTTATTATTTATCATTCCAAAATCTGGGTCTACCTCAATCAGAGGACCTTTTTAAGTGGACGTAGCAGAAAATGGTGGGCAGAACGCAGGGTCTGGAACCAGACTTGCCTGTGTTTGTATCACGGCCTGGCCAGCCTGCTGCTTGCTGGCTCTGTGACTGAGGGAACCTTTGGGGCTTTGTTCCCAATTGTAGGCTTATAAGTGGGACTACCGTAAAGATTCAGTGAGAGGACACATGGAAAGCAGCAGCTGGCACAGAATAGGTGCTGAATAAAAACGTGGCAGTGATAGTTGTCCCTGCAAGCTGACCTCTGTGCTGTGCCTCTGTTTCCTGAGAGCTGAACTTTCATTAAAACCTCTCTTGAGAAAAAGGGAAAGTAAAAATCACATGTGATACTTAGAAATGACCCTAGACGCAGGCTGTATTGAAGCTTGCCAGGGATCCCTGAAGCCCCCCTGCGTGTCAGCTGCTGGCCTGTGACAGCCTGCGTCGCCAGTGCCTATCCTTAGCCCAAAGGCCCCAGAGGTCTGTGTCTTGCAAATCATGCACCGATGGAAAGTTTGTTGCTTTTTTTTTACAAAGCGCCTATGAAGGGCAGGGGTTTAGTTTTGTTTTGTAAGTTTAGCATTCTACATACACCTCTGATGAAGGAGCTAGTATTATCTAAGTTAGTGACAAATACAGCAGACAGAGTTACAGCAGACTTAGAGACACTCTGTACTATTAAGTAAAAGCATACGTGTGATTTTAATATAAAGTACTCATTTCAGTCCATGGCACTTGAGTCTGGGAGTCTAGTAGCTGAGGGAAGGAATACAAGGAAATGCCCCCATACCTCCATGGGGTTGAAAGCATGCTTTGCTAGAAGACACTCGTCTCTGGGAGCATCAGCAAGGGTTAAACTGTCAGGTGTGGAATGGTTCTGCTTCCCACTCATGAATTATGACCTTCTTGTAGGAGCATCCTGGGACTTCAAAGAAGCCTTTGTGACAAGCTGAGATCTGTGTTATTGTCTTTATTCACTCTCCAGTGGCTCCGCATCCTTCAGATTTAAACACAAACAGTTGGAAGCAAGAGCTTCTTTCTGGTTCCCTCAGCAGCTTCCTGACTCTGCTGTCTTTCCCTCCCTCGCAGGATGTCCTCTGGGGTTCTATGGAAAGGACTGTGCATTGATATGCCAGTGTCAAAATGGCGCTGACTGTGACCACATCTCCGGGCAGTGTACGTGCCGCACTGGCTTCATGGGGAAGCACTGTGAACAGAGTAAGTATGAGAGTGTGACACATCCAGGTGGTATTTTCCCCTAGAACCAGTTTTCCTGCATGCCTAAGAATATGAAGGCAGGACCTGCAACTTTTAAGTTGTCTAAACCTATGGCTGGTCACTTCCCAGCCCAGCTGACCGTTCCCCTCCCAGAGACCTGGCCACCTGGGGTTCCTTGCTGACTGTCTTTTCCTTCAGACCTCTTCTGGGTAAGTAATCAGTGCTTTGGGTGGAGGGGGTGCGGCTCCAAGGATGAAGACAGAATTCAAGTTTTCCATCTGTTCACCCTGGCTCTCACTCTCACTGTCCTGCTTATTTTTGGAATGGGGCTGCTCAGAACTTTACGAGCCAGTCAGGTTTTCTTCACGGCAGACCCAGAGCCCAGGTCGCACCCTGGACGAGAGAGCATTCTCTAGGGCCAGGCTGAGAGCACAGGAGGCAGGTGGGCTCCCAGTCCCACTGGGGGTGTGGAACCAGGTCCATGCAAACGTTGCCCCCCCCTTCTGACAGCCTTCTCTAGATGGTATTTTTATACTGTTTCTCCTAGCAAATTCTCATCTTAGTCTTTCCGACCTCCAAGACAAAAATTGCCTTAAAACTTTTTGTTGTAAGACTCCCACTCCAGAAGAACATGTTCTGTTGCAATTATGCATCCTTGTCTTGCCATTTCCACCCCTACAGCTGTGCATCTGCAGGGTTATAAGAAAATTAGTGTTAGACTGAGTATTTCAAAGTAGTCTATTGTTCCTTTCCTCTGACTTTCATTCAATATTTTGAATGGGATAAATAGGGTCTTAGAGCTATATGGGGCTCACCCTCGTGTCATAGATGGCAGGAAAGGGGGCAGGACCTTTGTGGCTTATCAGAGGGGGCATTCCTGGGAAGGTTGCATCAAAGATTACATGGCTGTAGGAGCAGTGTGGCCTGGAAAGGTGGATCAGCATAGCAGGAGTTTGGCAATCAACGGTCTCCCTCTCTCCACTCCAGCAGCATCTCACAACACCCCCGGATGGCTAGGTTGTCTCGGTCTGGTGTGCTGAACCTAGAAATATTTTTGCATATTTTCCTATCTAGTACATAGCAGGAGTTACCTCTAGGAATCAGCCTGGGCAGAAACTGCCCAATTTGAGTTTTGTACTGGTATTCATCTCATCCTGAAACCCATACTGAGTCACACAGTTGCCTGCACACCCTTTGTGTATGCAAATATTGTGCATCTGTGTGTATAAATGTCTAAACATATGTGCACATACATATATGCACAGAAACCAGAAGAGGCTCTAAACGGACTTTCCCTTGGAAGCCAGACTGGTTATGGTCTTATTTTTAAAAAACTGCTTAACTCCCTCCATGATTACTTTGAACATCCAATCAAAATGTTCCTATTTTTGGAGACCCCTCCTGATGCTCATTTGTAAACAGAAACACTGTGTTTGACAGAGAACTCCAATAATAATAGCACATTGCCCCCTGCTGCCCACTTTGCAGAAAGCACTAGTATTGGGGGATGATTTTTAAATTTGACATGCCTATACTCTTCTTTGAATCTATACCCAGCTCTTATTAAAAGTGCATCCTAAAAAATCTCTCCATTTTGGTCTCTTAGGCTTCAACCTGCACATCCCAATTTTGAGCCATTCTATAGTAAATGAAGTTCTTACCTAGAAAATTAACAAAAATTGCCCCTCCTTTGTCCCCTGCTAATCCAAGTCACAATGTGCCTATAGGAGGATTGCTGAGCCTTCAGTAAACTGCTCATGTTCTCAAGGATTCGGCTCTGGTTTATGCTCTTCAGTCTTCTGTCCCACTGTTTTGCCCAGTGGGGTCATCTCAGATTGCCCTGGCAGATGGTCTTCATCAGTTCCGTTGGGTTCTACAGAGTGTCTACTTACCCTTCAGTGAAGTGGGTGCATAAATGCTGAAGGAGTCAGGAGCTGTGGCGAGGAGCTTAGTCTCTGGCCCCATGCAGCCTGGCCTGTGAGTCCCCTCATGAGTCAGGGAATTCCTGTCAGCTCTAGGACTCCCTGGGTAGTTCTACCTGCACAAGGATCCCCTGGAAGTTCTGCCCTCTAGACACATGGGATCATGTAGTAAGAGACAGCCTTTTGCCCAGATGCCCAAGGCTGGAGAGCTTACATTGGACTTTCATCTCCTTCTCAGAGTGCCCTGCAGGAACGTATGGCTACGGCTGTCGCCAGATATGTGACTGTCTGAACAACTCCACCTGTGACCACATCACTGGCACCTGTTACTGCAGCCCAGGCTGGAAGGGGGCACGATGTGATCAAGGTAAGGACACCAGTGCCTTGAAATGTGTAACCACCATGTAGCCAGTGTTAAGTATTTGCACCTACCTTATCTGATATAAATGGGCTTGGGACACTGCAAGGCACAGCTGGTTATTTACTTGCCAGATGGATGCCTTATCATTGCTGTCCTACGGGTGAGGAAACTAAAGCTCAAAGAGGCTGAGTAATTTACCCAAGGTTGAACAGCTATATGTAGGTCAGGGCTTAGATGCCAGGTTTGTCTGATTCCAAAGTTCATGAGCTTTCCACTATGCCTGCAAATGTTTTCACCTTTATTGAGGTATAACTAATCTGTGAAAAGCAACACGTGTATGCTACTATATTAGAGATAGATATACACACACAAATATATATGACACGTATGACATAAAGTGTACAACCTGATAAGATCTGACATATCCACCCCATGAAACCCAACCACAGTAAAGATAGTGAATGCAGCCATCACTCCCCAATGTTGCCTCATGCCCTTCCCTGCCACTACTGACCCCGAGGCCCCAGGCAACCCCTAAACTAGTTTCTGTCACTACGGATGAGTTTGTATTGCTAGGATTTCATGTAAATAGAATCACACTGTACTCTCTTTTGTCTGACTTCGTTTGCTCAGCATAATCATTTTGAGACTGAACCATGTGGTTGTATATATCAGAGCTTCAGTTCACTGTATTGCTGAGTAGCATTCCATTGCATGGGTGTATCATAATTTGTTTACTGATTCACCTGTGGGTGGACATTTGGATTGGTTCCAGTTTGGGGCTATTATAGGTAAAATTCTTATGAACAATAGTGTATCAAGTCTTTGTACGGAGATACAATGCCATTTGTCTTGGGTAAATCAATAGGTGTAGAACGATTGGCTCGTATGATAGGCATATGTTTAACTTAAGAAAAAAAAAAAAAACAAAAAAAACCTGTGCAGGGCCTTTGAGAAATTTCTTCTGATGATTCTGAAGCATGATGCCCAGAGAACTCCTGGTTTGTGTGGCTGTCTTCAGGAAATAGCACTCTCATGGACTCTAGAGTTGTAGGTGCCGTCCCCTGAAATTGTACACTACATAGGCATTCCTAGTTCATTTCCTTTCATTAGGTAACTTCTGTGTGCTCACGATTTGTATTTGTCCTAACAATAGGAGGTCGAGTTTCACAATCACATCATTAATACACATGGCTTGTGATCACACGGCACTGGCCTCCGTGCTCCGTGTTATGGGGCAGGCTGTCTAATAAGAAGTGTAACCCTCAGAATCATAAAGTTATAGGGATGTTTGAGCTGGAAGCACCTGCTTTGGGGCCAGTTTCCTCCTCTATAGTTAGATGGTAAAACTCTGGCCGAAATACTTAAAGAAAAATTCAGCACCTCTGGATCAGTTTTTTTTTAAGACACCCAGTTTCTTGACTCATGGTTCATATCTTTCCTGTCCTCACTAGACTGAATGCAACAAAGAATTATGTAAAGCTATGGTTTAAATTTTAATAAGTAAGCTTTTAGGGCGATGTTGTCAGGTGTTAACTGGGACAGACCTTTCGGAAATGGAAAATAACTGCATAGCGCAGTTATCTCCCAGGGTAAAAAGCCCGCTGAAATTAGGATAAGGCAGACCCTCATCTTGGACCAGATTTATAATGGAGTTATCCTTGCTTGGAAGGACAATTACTCTTAGAAATGTTAAGAATAGACATAAAATTAAGTTAGGCAGTTGAAGCATTTAGAAGTTAGCCTTTCATAAGCTTACTGTCGCTTAAGAAATAAAGCATGGTTAAAAAAAAAAAAAAAACTAGATAAATTATTACCTCCAGTGAATTCCTGGTCTGGTCTGAGTGACTATTTAGTGTTTATGCGAGAAGCTCCCAAACCCTACAGTGAAGTCTTCGGGTTCTGGAAATCCAGTCCCATTTTTGAGACATAGAGTAGCCCTTTCCGGGCACAGACCAGCCAACAACATCCGCAAATGAAGAATGTTTGTTTTTCCTTCTGCAGTTTCTAAAAGTTTCCAAATTAACCTTTCATGAACTGAAAATATCCCGGCATGAGCCCACGGGGAGAAGTTTGTAAATTGAGTTCAGACATTTGTCTGGCACCTGTCGTCCTTACTCAGATCCCATCTTCTCCTTTCACTAGCCAGTGTCATCATAGTTGGAAACCTGAACAGCCTAAGCAGGACAAGTACGGCTCTTCCTGCTGACTCCTACCAGATCGGGGCCATCGTGGGCATCATCATTCTTGTGCTGGTGGTGCTCTTCCTGCTGGCCTTGTTCATTATTTATAGACAGAAGCAGAAGGGAAAGGAATCGAGCATGCCAGCAGTTACCTACACCCCTGCTCTGAGGGTCATGAATGCAGACTATGCCATTTCAGGTAAGACTGGTCCCTAGGGCCTTCTTACTCCTTGAGAAGGAAGGTTTCATCCTGGTTCTTTGAAACTGGGGCATGTGGCTGGGCTCTCTGTTGTTGTCCAGTAGCCTTGAGCAAATATTGTGTTTGGAAAAGATACATTGTTACGGATGTGCCATAGGGGTCAATGGTAGCAAAATCATCACTGCCTTCTTCCATGAGGGTTTTTAAACTGGATGCATTATGGGGTTGCTTTAGATTTTGGGAATTTCAACCGGGAGGAAGCTTTGCTGGGCACCTAAGCTTTTGTCATATGTCAGGGACTGGGAGCGGAGAGGAGGAGGCACCCATAAGTTTGGTAAGGTCATGGAGCACATCAGGGAACAGAACCAGGTCTTCTGTCTCTGGACCTGGGCACTTAAAAGAGTGCCTTCTAACCTGTCCCTGGGCCTACACAAATCATTAATCACATGGCAACAAACTTATATAAGAAACGGTTTTGTCATATTAGCAAGAATCAAAGCTGTTCTGTAAGAAAACTCTTTAAAATCTTTCTGTCACATGTGCCCAGAAATGTAAATTTTTAAGTGACATGCTCCTTCATCAGAGAAAGTAACCACTTAGGGGTGCTTGGGTGGCTTAGTTAGTTAGGTGACTCCTGATTTCAGCTCAGCTCATGATCTCAGGGTTGGGAGATCGAGCCCCACGTCAGGCTCCACATTGAGCATGGAGTCTGCTTAAGGTTTTCTCTCTGCCCCTCCTCCCAGCCCACTCCTGCCCATGCTTGTTCTCTCCAAAGAAGGAGAAGGAGAAGAAAAAAAGGAAGAAGGAGGAAGTAGAGTTAGTGAGGAAGGGGAAAAAGAAGAGGAGGAAGGGAAAGGAGGAGAAGGAGAAGAAAGAGAAGGAGAAGAAGAAACCACTTAAATTAAGGAATTTGTACACTTACAGTAATTTATTATTTTAGACAATTACTATAGGATGGGTTACGTGTTTATATATACACTGATTCTAGGGGGAATACCTAAAGCAGCTGATTTGCTTCATAGTGCATTTCTGGCACAGAATATTATGGTAAGAACAATAGGGTCTAAAATATTAAAAAAAAAGATTAAAAAAAGAGGCAAGTTCCAGCAGACATAGCTTCAAAGTGATAGCTTCCCAGGAGAAGAGGAATTGTCTGAGGACACTTGGACGGTTTCCCAGGAAGCAGGTAGGAAGGCAGGCACCTGCTGCTTCTAGAAGCTTTGCTGCATATGCTGTGAAGGAGGGGATTCGGCCCAGCCTGTAATGTGGAAGCGGTACAAACATTTTTTCTGGTTATTTTGCTTCCCTTTGTTCCACACAGACTTAGGGGAGCCTGTCACCTTAATCATTTCCTTCTCTTCTTACAGAAACCCTTCCCCACAGCAATGGGGGAAGCGCCAACAGTCATTACTTCACCAACCCCAGTTACCACACGCTTACACAGTGCGCCACATCCCCTCATGTCAACAACAGGGACAGGATGACCATCGCTAAGGTGAGAGGAAGTGACTCCCAGGCCCTGAAGCGGGACAGGGAAGAGAAAGTACAGGAAGGAGCATGGAGGGAGAGCTGCAGCTCTGGGCACTTTACATCTCTTATCTTGTTGATTGCATGTTAGAATCTCAAGTTTACTGGTGAAAAATCCGAGTGGTGGGGAGTTACATTCACTTCGAAACAGAGTTCCCCAGTTTGTGAGGGAGGCAGTTGGAGTGTGAGTCACGGTCTCCTTGTCTCCAATTTGTACTGGTTCCGGTGTAGGTCTTTGGAATAATGTTTCTGATATTGCCTGAGGTTTTAAAATGATGTCTCAGAGCTGACTTTAGCAGACTCCATCCTGGGTCCTTTCTTTTGTCTTTTCAGACCACCTGTCTTCCAGTGCCCTGCCGAGTCCCCCAGTCCTTTCTTCACAAAAACAGCTGCATGTGTTGATTTAGGTTGAACCACAGGAAATTGCTTTTTTGTAGGTCAAAAATGATCAAATAGAAACTTGTGTGCCAGGCATTTCTAATCAATCTGCAAATATAAATTCATTTAATCTTCACATTGATCCTGTGACTCAAGAGTGATTGTTTTCCTCATTTTATAGGTACACAGAGAGGGTGGACGCCTAGGGCTCCTCCTCCCATACCACTCACCTCACCCCCAGTCTCCTTGAGGACGCTTGGAAATTCCAAGCATTTCTTCCTTCCAACTGTCCCAAATTATATTTATAATCTCCATTGTCATATTCTGGCTCTCTGCTAGACGAAAACCAAGCTAGTCAAATTAATTCCATTGCAATTAAATTAATGCTGCTGGATTTTAATTATGGCGCCTAATAGTTAAATAGCCCTTCCCATTCCCTCGAGACTTTCCTGTTCATCATTGCATTTGTTCTCCTACATATTCAGGGAAGGAGGTGAAGTACATAGTCTTATCCTCATGTTTATTGCTAAGAAAATGGCTCAGAGTCACTGGTGACTAATAAAAAATCATACAGTGTTTGACAGGAGAGCTCCAACCAAGAATTTAACTTTTTTAAATTCAAAGTTCCATGTACATTAACTCAAGTCAAGTTGAATGGGCACAGAGTGACTAAGGGAGATTAAGAATTTGAGGCAGTAGGGGAATAGTTCGGGCCAAGGGACGGATACTCCTACTGCCCTCTAAGGCTCACCCCATGATGACCTCTGTCCCCTTGCATGGCCGCCTTGAAGAACCAGCCCTTGATCCATGCCACAGATGTCCTTTCCCACATCTGTAACACTGTGCTGGGCTATGTGCTATGTTCTCTTTTTACATCTTGATGGTTTATTTTTTTAACAGTCGAAGAACAATCAGTTGTTTGTAAATCTGAAAAATGTGAATCCTGGGAAGAGAGGCCCAGTGGCGGACTGCACAGGAACACTGCCAGCAGACTGGAAACATGGCGGCTACCTCAATGAGCTTGGCAAGTTCTCCCAACATCCATCCTCAACAAGCTCCCTTATCTTCTAGTCCCCTCAGATACTCATAGATTTATGATATGCCAAAGAGATCTATTGGAAATATGCATGAAAAAAACAAAATGATAGAATTATACCCAATACCTGTGTGGGGCTTATTAATGTCCTGGGTGCTTTATCTACCCAACAAACATTTATTAAGGTCCTAGTGTGTGCCAGGAATTGATAAAAAGAGATGAGAATCTCTGCCTGCGTGTAGCTTCCATTCTAACTCTACATATATTAATTTACATGATTCTCACAAGTACTCTGATAAGTAGGTACTGTTAATGTCATCATCATGTCCGTGTAACAGTTGAGAAACTGAGTCAAAAAGAGGTTAAGTCCCCCCGAGAAAAGTCTTAAAGCCTATTAAATGGTAGAGCTGGGATCTGAATCCTGTCAGTCTGGTACTAGGATGTGTGTTCCCCTTTGCTGTCTTTTAATATGGGGCACCCATACTTGAGGGCCGCTTCCCCTTTAGGTGAGGAAATGAAGATATCAACAGGAATACAGTCAGTGCTTCTCGAACATTTTGGAATCAGACCTGCTTCATACTCTTGAAAGTTATCAGGAGCCCTGAAGAGCTTCTTTCAATATGGGTTATATCTATTGATTCCACATTACAAATTAAAACTGAGACCATTTAAAAGAGTTATTTATTGCTTTGTTTATAATAACAGTAATTAATTTCATGATAATGTAAAACACATTTTTATGAAAAAACCCCCACATTTTCTGAAACAAAAACGAATTAGTGAGAAGAGTGGCACTGTTTTACATTTGTTGGATCTCTTTAACTTCTGGCTTCAGAGAAGATGGATTCTCATATCTGCTTCTCCATTCAGTCATTGGTGATCCCATGCTTGGTGCTGCTCTTAGACAACCGCCATGCACTTGAGAGAGAACAAGAGTGAAACAGGCACAAAATGTCGATATACAAGAACAGTCTTGTTCTTGTGGGCCTCCTGGACCAGCCTTAAAGAGCTGCTGTGACACCCCACCGAGTGAACTGTGCCATTACCAAGCCATTGCCCCTGATTTCAGGGAGGTGCTTGATGAAGCCGTAACTGATATGTGCTCACCTTATGGATAGCAAACCCTTTTTTGTATTTATTTGATGGTGGAGTGACCAGGAAAACCCAGTTAAATTTGAATTTCAGATAAGCAACAAATATTTTTAGTATAAATATATCCCAAAAGTTGCATGGGGCATACTTACCCTAAAAATTATTTGTTGTTTCTCTGAAATTAAAATTGAAATGTCCTTCCTTTGTTTTTATTTGCTGATTCTGACAACCTTACTAGATGGGCCCTTCCATGAATCTTGTTTTTTAGAGGAATAAACTGGGAAGCCCAGAGAGGTTAACTTCTTGCCCAGGATTTCATGGAAGGAAAAGGGTAAAGCCAGGTCTCAAAGTTCATCTTCCAACTACTTACTCCTCCCCTGCTCTTTCTGGGAACACCATATACACCAAATTACCTAAGCCAGATAGAGGAACCAATCAGTATGGGCTCCGGAATCCCCTGTTACTGTAGAAATGTAAATGTTAAAGTAGGAAAACAAATACAAATTCTTAACTTTTGTCTGCATTCTCTATATCCACATTATCAAATAGCTGTGCATTTCTGAACACGGTCAAATTATTTAGATACCGGATTCACAGTATACTTATCGGCCAAATCATTTAATATCAGAGAGATTTCTTGTAGCTCCAAGGAATATGTGAGTTGATATCAGCAAAGTACTAGCTGGCACTAATGAGGGAAAAGTTCTCTTACTCCATTTTCACCTGCTACATATGGTCCTAACTCTAGGACCCAGTCCCTGCAGTGGTAACATATAAACTTCTCTGCTTTTTATCTCCTTAAGACCCACCAGACTGAGAATGTAACATCTTCATTGAAAATTCTGGGTCTCCTTCATGAGTTTCCATCCAAGAGCAATTATACATTTAATGTCCCTTTATAGTTGTTGGCCAGAAAAAGTCTTCCCTTACAATGGACAGGGTAGAGCACACTATGGATGCTGAAATGTGTATGTGCTTGACATGATGGAGAAGTTGTTGTGATGTTGTCTGAAAGAGCCCTGAACCTGGCACAAAAAGCCCTGGGGTCGACTCCTGGTTCTGTTATATGGCACTGGGCTAATCACCCCCACGAAGAAGATCCATTCATTTGTGGCATAGAGCTCATGATCGTGTTGTGACTCATTGTATGAATTAGATTAAGCCAAGCATTTGAAAGCATCTATCCAGGGATTGGAACAAATGGGAGTTTATATGAGGAAACCCGCCTGCTCCCTCATAAAACAGCCTCCAGAGCAAACCTGGCAGGCGTGCTGGTGTCACGGGGCCACTCTTATACCCTAATTTACTCTCCACCTCAGGCTGCTCCTCTCCTGAGCCTCTTGGGGGAATGCTAGCCATTACACAGCTAAGATCAAGATGGACAGTTAACAAGACTTTGCTAAAGTCTGGAGACAGCTAAGTGAATCTGGCAGAGCAGCAAAGACAGAGTTCTTTCATAGGAGTTCTCAGAGGCCACAGGTCCTACCCTTCTTCATGCGGTCCCTTTACAAAGGTCTAGGAATCCCTAAGACCACCCTCAGGATCCATAATTTGGCAGAAAGAATCATAGAGCTCCCTGCGACCTGTTATACTCATGGTTAGAGTTTATCACAGCCAAAGGATACAGGTGAAAATCAGCCAAGGGAAGAGACACAGTGGGCAGAGTCAAAGAAAGTTCCAAGCCAGAAGCTTCCAGTTGTCCTTTCCCAGTAGAATCATGGAAAGTGCTAACTTTTCCTGGCTACAGTATATGACAAGAGGCATGAAGTATTACCAGCCAAGGAAGCTCACTTCAGCCTTGGTGTCTAGAGTTTTTATGAGAGTTTGATAAGGTCAACATGGCTGACCGCCCATGTGGTTGACCTTTCGACCAGTCCATCTGGAGATGGAGCTGACATGAAGTGGCCCAAATCCCCTTCCATAAATCTCTTTGTTACGCTACCCAGTGTAGTCCTAGGCCCCAGGTAAACAAAAACACTGTTACTGGGTGGGATAGTCCAAGGACTTAGAGATCCCCTCCCAGGAACTAAGGGCAAAGGCCAGAGCTTACTTTGATTAGGTTAATTCACTATTCATCCTTATCCTGCCTCCCTGCATAATTGGGCACCTTTCCCACCAGCTGGGAGCATGGCTAGGCTTAACCCAGACCTGAGAGAGAAAACATTCTCTAAGAGGACATTCCTGTATCCTGTCCCACGATATTAGACACACCCTCTCCCTTTAAGGGATGCTCCCTCTTTCTTCACAGAAGTGTGTCCTCCAGGACATCTGAACTTGAGTCAACTACCACTCTAAGGGACACACGCACAGTGGCAGGGGATCGTCCCCTAGCCATTCTCCTACTTATTTGAATATTTGTCATTAGTCGTTACTCTCTGTTTCTAATGTAAGGCTATAACATTTCTTTAAAAGATCATGGAAGAGACCTTGGAATGCCTCCATGTAAAATGAAGCTGGGGGTCGTAGGACACATTCTGTGTTACCATTCATTTATACAGCGCCTCAGAGTTTATGACCCCTTTTCATGCAGTCTAGTTCACTTAATGATCACACCAGTCCTGTAAAGTTTGGAAAGCAGGTTTTGTTTTCCTCATTTTAGAGATTAAAAAAAAAAATTGACAGAGAGAGAGCTTGCCCAAAGTCATGTGGTGAGCGAGTGATGAAATTGGAAGTCCTTTGTCTCAGTTCTAGCCCTGGCTATGTCCTTTCCACAGTGCGACCTTGAATCAAGTATACCAATTCACCCATGCCTTATTTCCTACCTGTACTGATCAACCTTTCCCAAAGTCACTGGAAATGAGTAGGAGGATGATCTGAATGATATATATATGTATTTTAAATTCTAAATGCTGAAAATATCAAGCATGAGCAACCTGGTAGCAAAGGTTTGAAAAGCAGCACTCTTGGTTATTTCTTGCAGTGGGGAGATCATAGGTGCCCAAACCATCCTCCTCCATGACCTTGGAATATTAGATGGGTTTTCTCTTTTTTCCAGATCTCACTGGGGATTTTTTTCTTTTTTATCACAGGAGCTTTTGGACTTGACAGAAGCTATATGGGAAAATCCTTGAAAGGTATTGTGTAAATTTAAGGAAGAAATACATCTATCAGAATCATAATTTAAAAAACAGTTTATATCAGAGACTGAAATAATTGGCTAAACAAGCAAAAGTGGCAGTGTAGAGAAAATGGTCAGTTGTTGGTGTGGTTAATTACACCACCAGACACACAGACATATTTGACTGAGGTCAAGAGCGTGACCGTAGGTGCGTGGTGTTAGAGCATAAGTCTGGGGGAACAAAGGTTTCCATTTGCTGGGGAAACACTCATATTTCTTTGAAAAGATATAGGACTTATGGAGAGAGAGAAATGTATGAAAAAGGAAATAGCAAGGAAAACAAGAGCTCAGCATCTTTACATGAATAACTTCTTGTGCCCAGTCCTGAAGTTTTACAAGGAAGTCTCACGTCACAAAGACCTCCCTCACCACAATGATAGAACTTTCTTGTGCTCCCAGGGGCATCCATGGGTGGTTTCTTGATTGAAGCCTCTGAGAATTCAGAGACTGTTAGTAAATTAGGATGGAATTAGTTTTGAGTGTGAAACAAAATCAAAATGAAATCAAATCCACAATGTTTTACATTGATACTCACCTGAAAGAGGAGCTAAAAATTACAGATGGGTAATTTAAAAGCAGGTTCTCTCCAAAACAGGTAGAAAATGTATGGTGGTATTGTTGGTATATATAATTATAGAAAACTAGCTACAAAGAGAAAGAAGTAACCTGAGTATATTACCACCAAGAAAAAATTTAATGTCCCTGCAATAGCATTTGCTTTTCTCCCCCATCTCTCTTCACAGATCTGGGAAAAAATTCTGAATATAATTCAAGTAACTGCTCCCTAAGCAGTTCTGAAAACCCATATGCCACTATTAAAGACCCACCTGTACTTATCCCCAAAAACTCAGAGTGTGGCTATGTGGAGATGAAGTCACCAGCACGGAGAGATTCCCCCTATGCAGAGATCAATAACTCAACTTCAGCCAACAAGAATGTCTATGAAGTTGGTGAGTTCCCCTAACCAAAGAAAGAACCTAATATAGGAATTTTTAAAAAACAGTTTTAAAGTTCTTAAGCATACAGTAACAGTTCTTATAAACATGATTGAAGACACTGGTTCATATTTTCAATGCAACCTGTGTTTTCAGTGACCATATTAATTGGTGTCAAATAAATTTTTAAGGGAAAAGAAAATAGCATTTAGCAAAATTAAGTAAATTTTCCTTATCTCTCACTTGGCTCTCCATCTTTTGTTTTGTAACGATAGTGACTATTTGAGCACACCTGTGGAATAGCATATGTCTTACATTAGCTCTTGTGTGGAGTTAGCCTAAACAAATGGTTCAAGGGGATGAAACAGATGTTTCTACTTCCTGGTTGCATATTCATTACATTAATGCTTTTAGCAGAATGGAAACATTTTACTTTTAAATTTGTCTGATATATTGGTAATATTCTTGGATGTGAATGAGATGGAAATTAATAAGAATTCAATTTAAAATTAGAATTATTTTGATTGCCCCTTACAAATACCATTTGGGAAAAAGCTGAAACACATCAGAGCTGTCACCGGGTAGGTAGAATAGGGCTATGTATTTAGTTTTTTTTTTCCCTGTCTCTCTCAAGTTTATGATTTAAACTTTAAAAAATTCTCTATTACTTGTTAACTTGTAAATGAAGTAGTTAACTCCAGTAGCTAGTAATTAATTTATGTCACAGACATGTCTCTGAAAAGATAACATCTTAAAGAATTAAGACAGCTTTTTTTTTTTTTTTATGGGAGGTATAGTGATCTAAATTTATTTTTTTTAAAGTTGGTTACAATCCCCCTTTGAACCGTCTGGTAAACCCACCACTTTAACATGGGAACTCAACTGAGAGCCAGGGTCCTGAGTCCTAAAGTCACCTTGTTAACTATTTCCATGAATTGAGTTACCCTGGAAGGACCTCAGTCTTCTCACCTACAGGGTAAAGGGTTTGGACTAGATTATCTACAGAGTGCTTTTCAGACAACAGTTCACATCTAGGGTTTCTGTCTAGTCCCTGGGTATCTTCATCCCAACCCTGCAGTCACCTTTTTGTTCAGAACTCCACTGTACACATCAGCTGGTCTGACAGATGTAGAGTAGCCACTTCAATGTGATTATAAAACCCTCTTTTGTTCATTAAAATAATGTTTCTTTACATTTTTAGAAGTGCTCCTCCTATATGTGTGAGATTTGCAAGAAATGCCATATTCTATTCTTTTTAAAACTTTCTGTTGCTGATAAATTAATGTGTCCCTGGTTGTCACAGAACCTACAGTGAGTGTTGTCCAAGGAATATTCAGCAATAATGGGCATCTCACCCAGGATCCATACGACCTCCCAAAGAACAGTCACATCCCTTGCCATTATGACCTGCTGCCAGTCCGAGACAGTTCACCCTCCCCCAAGCGAGAGGATGGCGGCAGCGGCGGCAGCGGCAGTGAATGACACCAAAGGACTGCTTGGTAGCCGCTGAAACAGTTTCCAGAACTGCAGTTCAGTTCTTCTCCATCTCAAGTTTGCCACCTTAGGTGAATGTTAATCTACTTGGTAGGCAACTGTTGGACATGAACCAGAAAGCTCAAAGCTAAGGCTGACTGACCGTAGGTCCACCTTGTCCGGGTGGCTCGGAAGGAGAGATCAATGTGACTTCCTATTCTTCTAAGCATTAGAACTGCACTCGTGAAGCATGACTTCCTATAAAATTTGGGCTGAAAGCATGACTGCGCGGAGGTCTTTGGGAGGGAGTCATGGGGTACGGTGGCTGTTGGCATTATGGCTTGAACAATTAAAATTTAAATATTTTCTTTCTCATTTGCATTGCAGACCTGTACCAAGGATTGTGCAGTTATCATAAAATCTAGTGTGAATCACTAAACATGTAGAAGAGAAGGGGCATAGTATTGAGTCCTTATGTTTATTTTTTTCAGCTGGACTCAGACTTATAGAGATAATATGAACCCAGGAAGAAATGTTCTGTCAAGTGGCATCCCTGGAGAGACTTTGAGTAAACTCTAGAATTGGTTAGCCCATTTAAATATGAAAACTTTAGACTTTTTTTTTAGGATGAAGAAATGAAAAATTAGACTTATTTTAGAAGTAGTAGAATTATTTCAGGAATCAGTATACAGGTGTGGTTGGCAGAGGGTTATCTACTTGGACCCTTGGCCTACTTTTGATCCATGATGTCATTCTGATTGTTGTCCCTACCATACATATTCACCACTGAAGGTCCATAACATATCAATAATTATTTCATAAATACTGAAATGAAATAGTTTTATTTTTGACAGACCGGATTAAACGAGTCTATAATGATTGGAAAAGGTTGTAAATTTTAAGTGTAAGAAGATGCTTTGGTTTTGTAAACCATTAGTAACACATGCTGTAATATAGAATTAGCAGAAAGTTTTGATTAACTTTTCCCTAGAAGTGACCAGAATATTTTTGTGCATATTTGAGAAAAGGGCACTTTCCTTTTATTAATTGTTGATTTAGAGAAACTATGCTTAAGCTGGTCTTTTGCATTGCTAATATGACGTGTACCCCATTTTTCATTAATTTGTATTTCTGTTTTTAAGTTGTATATTCTATGTTTTGTAGTGCTTGGATTGTTAATGAAAAAAATTATATTATATGTTCATTGTTTCTTGTATTATTGTCACTTATCTTTTTTGCTTGATAAAATGCATTGTCCTTTTTTTTCTTTTAGAGGGAGGAGATGAAAATACATAAATCAAATCTATTAAAATTGGTCATTACTAAAATTGCAAAGTAACCGTGGGTGAGTGGCTTATAATCGAAATAGAGAAGCTTTTTAATATTAATGGAGCTCCTTTTGGTCTGTGGGTTCCGAGTCTTGGTTAAGCCAGGGGGTAGGAGAGTGAGGAGCTGTTCATTATGGAATGAGTACCACAGACTGGTCTTACCGAAGACCTTCGTTGAGAGGATCACACAATTGATCTTCCAAACTGGGACACTTATGAGTGTGAATGAGGGCATTATGAATATTTAACCCACTGTTGGCGTAAATCTGGACTGTCCCAAGCAAACCAGAATGGATGCTCATCCTTTGCACACCTGTCATGCACTAACATTTTTCATTTCAAGGTAGTTGTCTGAAGAGAATGCCAACATGATGCAAGAAAGCTGGTTTCTCCTTGACCTACCTGAGCGAGCAGAAGGTCTGAAAAGCTGCATGAGGAAGCAACTTCATGAGAGGAAACAGTGGCTGTAAATCTTTATAAAGACATGAAACCCTATGTGGTGTCTTAGTGAGTCAGTTGACAAATATGTATTGTCCATGCATTCTAGGCATTGTCCCTGCCAGTTATCAAGTTTTGGTATCCAGTGAGTTCATATCACATACCTGACCCTGTGATGGTGGTTTGGTCAGGGAGATGATACACACCTTGGACATTCACTCCTTTAATGGCTGTTTCTTGTCAAGAGCCCCAAAGTTAATTCAAGGACATCTTGAATTTCCTGGAACATGCCTTAGAAATTGGTTCAATAGTTACCCTTCGGCTGACCGTTGGCTCTAGGGAGTGGGTAGGCATTTAACTGAGACACTTGTGGGTCAATAGCCACGAAAAGTCCTTTCTGGTAAGAAAAAAATCTTTCCCCCTTCTTGTTTAAGAAGCATCTCTTCATTGCTCCACAATACATTTGAGTTTCCCCATAATGACCTCAATATAGTTAAAAAAAAAAAACAACCTTTTTTTTCCCTCATTATATTACAAAAAAACCACCAAAATCCTGAGCTTCCTGTACAAAGACAAGAGCATCTTAAGCAGAAAGCTGGGCAGCAGATGTGGACTCAGAAGGAGCGCTGCCATCCCTCCCTGTGCATTCTCTCTGCTAGACCAGCTGCTCAGGATTGATGCTGTCCTGACACCATATTTGTATCAGAGGTGAGTCTTGCTCACCAGAGTTCACTTAAGATTTTTCAAACATCAATTACACATAGAGCCTTTGGATATTGTAAAAACAACATGGTGTATTTGGAGAGGTCTAATTGAGAAGTCAAAACTTCCTAGATATTTTGATCTAGATTTGGGTAAGGAGAGAATTTCTTTTGTCAGAATGAAAATTAAAAGACAAAAAGACCTGGCAAGTCCCCCCCCACCCCCAAAATTGCCACCCTTTGGACCCTTGCAGATATATGAAATGTAATTTAGTGATGATGTCATTCTTCATACACTGTGAATCTATTCTCATGACCTTTGAACTCATTCATTTGGGACTCTAAGATTAATTTCTTCCTCATATCCTACATTGGTCAGAACAGTGACTATGCTTGGCAATTCGAAGGAAAAGCCATTCACGTCAGAATGTCAGCCAAACTCTTCTTTCCCTAGAGGGAGATATGTCAGACAATTTATAAACTGTTTGTTTTTATAGATAAATACACCAAAAGTGGCCCAAGTAATAGCTTATGTACTCACTTTCACATGGAGAATATGTTACTTATAGTGAATTGTATGATAGGGAATATTTCATAATTATTTACAGTGCTTGATAGAAATTCCTTTCACATGCCATAGTAGTTATGCCAAGAGAGTTTAATATGTTTAGCATTATCTCTATGGGAAATTATATTCACCAATTTTAGGAAAGCCAACGTAGAATTTTGTAAGATAGTTACAGCCTGTCCCAGCCAACTCCATTAGCACAACCACTGTGTGCTGTGAGAAATGCAAACCACTTTGTGAAAATGTGGACCATCCAAAGAGCCACAGCAGTACTTGACAATTACTGGGGAGTTTTAAACCATAAATATTGAAAAAGTTGCATAGGAGTATTACACTATTAATTCATGTCAATATTAGAAGTCCAGTTACCACTTAGAATAAGACGAAGTCATAAAAATTGCATCTTAAGGTTATGTTTTTTTTTAAATAACCAATCTTCTATCTTCAGGAAATGTCTTTATTATTCCAACTCAGTATTTAATAGATATTTTGATCTTAAAAGCTTTACGTCATGGCAGTGTATACAGATGGGCAAGTGTGAGTCACAAGGTGTGGATGAGTGCTTATTTCTTCACTAAGATGTACAGCAAACTGCCCTTTTAGGGTCTTCTGACACTGGGTCTGCCTGTTTTCATTCAGTATTTAGTCCAGGCTTCCTTTTGATATGAACAAATTGCAACATATATTTTTAAAAGGAAAATTCCAAATACGTAAGAATTTTCCTGATTGTAGCAAACAAAAAATGCTTTCAGTGTGAAAATCTCTCTCTTTTCCAAAGATGGTAAACTCTGGTCAGTATTAGCTTACATTGTCATTTATATCACCAAATGAGTATAGATTAATGCAATAAACTTTCTATTAAAAAAACTTTAAAGTGGTGTTTATTTCTATGTGTGATTCAATTGTTAATTAATGAGAAGAAAAAAACCTTATGATCTCACTTGAAAAATTAGTAGTTTTTCATCTGTAGCCCTATAGCACTTTATATAGACATGTAAAAACCATTGCATTTTATTATATTTAACTGCTCAAGCATCTAATTTCCCTTCAGACTGCTTGTTCTTTAAGGACAGAGGCAATGTATTGTACATATTTGGATTCCAGCAACCCAGGTTAGTGGCTAAGAGTCAAGTCTTCTGTAAATAGCTTTAGGTCATCTTATGTGAATTTGTTTCTTAAATCTCCATGGCTTGTTAATTCCTTACTTTATAATTAAAACATTTCTGCAGTATCCACTTTATAGTGCTGTGTTCTGGAGATCAAATATGAATAAAACATTACTTCTTCTCTCAATTACTGTTTGTTTACTGAGGGCCTGAGTGCCAAGCACAGTTGGGTATACAGGAAAATGTGATACATGAGCTATTTTAAAGCCATTATTTAATTAGGGAAATAAATTATTTTACTAGCCGTGTGACTTTGGTAAGTTACTTAACTTCCCAGGGCCTTGGTTTCTAGATTATAATATGTTAGAAAGAATAGTAACTATTTCATAGGGGGTTCGTGAGAATTTAATAACTTTATGCATACATAATACTTACTTCAGGACCTGACACATAGTAGATAGCTGGTAAATGTTAGCTATCATTACTATTATGAAAAATTAGCTAATAACCTGAGCCATTTTATAGTAACCAGATGAGTGATGAGGCTGGTAAATCAAAAGTGAGCATTTAATGAATATTATAAAAGCTACATATTTGTGTGACCTTATCCCAATCTATTTTTGTACTATTATGCATTTCCGTATATATTTTATTTCTAGAGTGGTGATTTAGGAAAGCAATAATAATATAATTTCATCTTCCAGGAGCGTGTTATCTTCCTCAGAACTAAGAATGCTTTTAAAATGTGTGGATGTGGGTTTCTGGGAAGATGGTGACCTGGCTTCACATTCCCATCCTAGAGAATACAGCCATCCAGAAAAAGTCAGGGACTGACCTTGGCAATCTGAAGATGTTCCACACACTGTGAGATACCAAGTTCCTGAAAGAAGATGCAAATGGGAGCAAAATATAAATGGGGATTGCTGGAATTGATGGGAGTGGACTATGGGAGGGGCTGCATGGGAAGGGCCGGCCAACCTGGGGGAAGGGAAAAAAAGCATCTTCTGTTTGCATGACACAGTTGTGAGAGGCTAAGTGTCCCTTGTCTGATGACATCTCAAGAGGGATAGTTTCTACGTTGAGCTAAGGTCAGCCTATCCCTCCTTGGACTTGTGAACTGAGAGGCTTTCACAAAGTGCCCTTGGGGATCACTGGTAACCACCAAAGGAAAAATCCCTCCCCTGGCTGTCAGTGTGCAGGAAAGAACCAGAGAGACGCACAGTTGTAGAAAGCCAGCACGCTGTCGCATGAAGAGACAGAGAAACATCACAACCGCTTCATGGGAACATTGCAGCTCAGATGGAAGCAAGGTAGGCCGGTGTGGAAAAGGACAAGAAACTTCTGTTACAGAGGCAGAGCCAACATGGAAAGCGGAGGAAAGCCTCATAGAATACGATTTAAACTCTTGTAGGGATGGAATTAGAGGACCAGAGAGAGTTTCTTGGAATTGAAAACAGTGGTTCCCCAGTTTAAAAATTCAGTAGAGGAATGTGATATTCAGCTAAGGCTGAATTCGTGTTTCGGACAACGAAGTACAACCACAAGAAAAACAGGAAAACTCATCCAGGACACTCAACGTCGAAACAGTTGCTAATACAGAAGGGGAAAAAGGTGCCATGGCAGAGTAGTAATCAAAGAAATAATCAAAGAAAACTCCTAGAAATGATGCCCTTCCATAATGTGAGTCTTTAGATCTTTAGATCTTTCTTTCACTTGTGAAAGGACCTACTAGGCTAATGAAACAGAACTGATGAAAAACAATGTGGAGGGACAGAAATCCTGGTGGCCTTCCCAAACTCATTCATTTTTAAAATATTTATTAGAAATACCCGCCAGCAGATGGTTAAATACCCTGCCTTCCATTCTGCTGGAAACCTCTGCCCCGACTAGCATGGACCAGGAAGAGCCAGGGCCCCAGGATTTGGGAAAGGAGCTTGTGTGAGAGACAGGCACAGGACTCGCTGAAAATACTAACACGCCAGTTTAGCACCCTTCATTGAATTTGCTATGAAGTAATCACCGAAGTGCGATCAGGAAGAAAATTGCCACTTGCGTGGCTGTGGGCTTATGAAAGGCTGCTCTTCCTCCTGTATCAACGGCCTGGACTTCTTCGATGGTGATAAAGCAAAGGAGAAATCCACATATGCCACAAAGCGGGCACTCTGCCATGGTATACCTATTAGCAGAGGATCGAGACGCTCACGGAACAAGTGATCTTGAAATACCTAAAAGCGGATTTCTTGTAACCTCTCCTAAAGACTACACAAAACAGAGAATATACTGCTTGACTAACATTTGAACCTTTTGTTGTAGCTGCAGCTTGGACATGGGGACCATTAGGAAAACAGACAGAAACAGGGTCCCCTCTGCAGTTCCAGCCATGATCAGGGATTTGAGACATAGCTTCCCAGGGGTTTACAGTAGAACTTCATTTTGCTTCCCTGAAATTCAGGTAAAGAACTGAGTGTCGACAAAAGCCAAAATAGATCGTCACAGTAGTCACTGCCTATCATAGGCATATTTGGAGGCTCTGCACTTGACTTCTATGAAGCATGACATGCTACAGAGGATTACGAAGAAAGCAGAGAACATTGGTCATCATGTTCCAATGATTGGAGCCATGTTATAAAATTGATTTTATAATTAATGAGAAAAAGATCATCTTTCTTATTATGCATTTTGTATAGACGGCTCGTAAATCTGGTTTGACAATAATATATTTTTATATGATACAATAATTTAGTCAATATATCAAAGCCAAAATGATGAATTATTTTGCTTCAGATGAAATATCTAATTCCTAGGTGTAACAAAAAAAGGGGGGGTTGTTTCTTTCTGGGCCTCTCATATTTTGTATATGAACTACCTTTTCAACCTCATCATCCAAAATTGAGTGGAATTTAATAACTCAAGGTAGTAATGCTTAAATTGTAGAAACCTAAATGTGCAAGAACTTTTTTATTTTGCACATTTATGTCTTGAGAGAAAATAAAAGGAGTAACTGTTGTTTTTAAAGAAAAAAAGTAAAAAAACTTTAAGAATCCCTGTGGTCTTGTTACATATTCATAGGATTCTAGTTATCATTATTTTTAAAAATTTACTATTTCCCCCCGAAATATT